TGCAAAGAAAAGGCATGTCAAGAGGTCTGCCAATACTTTCTGATAATTTACTAAATTGTATGCTTGTCAATTTGGTAAACAAATAAGAAAATCATTCCCCAAATCAGCTTGGAGAGCTTCTCAAAAGTTGCAGCTTGTTCACACTGATGTGGCAGGACCCTAAAGAACACCATCACTACAAGGTAGTCTGTACTTCATTCTTTTCATAGATGATTTTACAAGAATGTGCTGGATATTCTTTTTGAAATTTAAGCATGAAGTGGCTGGAGTATTTACGAAGTTCAAGAAAATGGTGGAAACTCAAAGTGGCTGCAAGATTCAATGTTTAAGATCTGACAATGGGACAGAGTATACATCAACAAAATTTAATCAATTTTGTGAAGAAGCTGGTATTGAGCATCAACTCACAGCCCCTTACACTCCAGAACAGAATGGGGTTAGTGAAAGGAGAAATAGATCGGTGATGGAGATGGTTAGATGCATGCTGCATGAGAAGGAGTTGCCAAAAACATTTTGGGCAGAGGCGGCTAACACAACAGTCTTTCTCCAAAATCGGCTTCCAACCAAAGTTTTGATGGATAAAACTCCATTTGAGGCTTGGTATGGGTATAAGCCGTCACTAACCTTTCTTAAAGTGTTTGGTTGTGTTTGTTTTGCACATGTTCCACAGGTTAAGCGTGACAAACTTGACAAGAAGGCAACTCCGGGCATCTTTGTGGGTTACAGTTCAGTTTCAAAGGCCTACAAAGTGTATCATCCTTAAACCGGAAAGATGATTGTTAATAGAGATGTGCACTTTAATGAAGACCAACAATGGAATTGGAAGAACTCACAAAGAACAACTAAACTATTTAGCAACATTGATGATAAGCATCCGGGACAGCAAACAACAGAGTTATTGCAGAATGAATTAGAAGACGACCCTCCAGTCAGAGGCAAAAGGCTGTTATCTGGCATCTATCAAAGATGTAATGTAGCAGTTTGTGAACCTGCTAGCTGCGAGGAAGCACAAAAGGACCAGAATTGGAAAATTGCAATGGAGGAGGAGATATCCATGATACAGAAAAACAAAACATGGGAGCTGGTTGACAGGCCTGAAAATAGAAAAGTCATTAGAGTTAAATGGGTTTTCAGAACAAAGCTTAATGCAGATTGCTCAATCAACAAGCACAAGGCCAGACTCGTAGTTAAAGGGTATGCACAAATTTTTGGTGTTGATTATTCTGACACTTTTGCTCCTGTGTCCAGATTAGATACAATTAGATTGGTGTTAGCATTTGTTGCGCAAAATGGCTGGAAAATATTTCAGTTATATGTTAAATCAGCTTTTTTAAATGGAGAGCTACATGAAGAAATATATGTAGACCAGCCAGAAGGATTCGTGAAGCAAGGTGAAGAAGATAAAGTCTATCTTCTAAAAAAGGCTCTCTATGGCCTCAAACAAGCGCCAAGGGCTTGGTACAGCAAAATTAATGATCACTTATTGAGCATAAACTTTGCAAAAAGCGTATCCGAGTCCACACTTTATGTGAAACATAAGGGAAATAATTTTCTCATAGTTTCCCTCTATGTGGATGATCTTTTAGTGACAGGAGATGACGCAAGGCTAGTTGACGAGTTCAAGCAAGAAATGATGCAAGCTTTTGAAATGACAGATCTTGGTCTCATGACCTATTTTCTTGGAATTGAGATCAAACAAAGTGAGAATGAAGTGTTAATTTGTCAAAGAAAATATGCAAAGGAAATTTTGAAAAAATTTCAAATGGAGGAATGTAAATCTGTTAGCACACCAATGAATCAAAAGGAGAAGTTTAGCAAGGATGATGGTGCTGAAAAAATTGATGAAGGATATTACAGAAGCTTGATTGGATGTCTAATGTATCTCACTGCAACAAGGCCGGACATTCTATTTGCGGTAAGTCTCTTGTCTCGTTTTATGCACTGTCCAAGTGAAATTCATTTGCAAGCAGCAAAAAGAATATTGAGATATGTTAAAGGCACTATTGATTATGGAGTCAAATTTGATAAGTGTCAAGAATTCAAGTTGTATGGATTCTCTGATAGTGATTGGGCTGGATCCATTGATGATATGAAGAGCACTTCAGGATACTGTTCTAGCCTAGACTCGGGAGTATTCTCATGGTGCACAAAGAAGCAAGAGATTGTAGCACAGTCCATCGCTGAGGCTGAATTTATAGCAGCAACAGCCGCTGTAAATCAAACTTTATGGTTGAAGAAGATTTTATGTGATTTATCTTTGCAGCAGAAGAACAAAACAGAAATTTTTGTTGACAACCAGGCTGCAATTGCTATTGCAAACAATCCAGTATGTCACGGGAAGACTAAACATTTCAACATCAAGCTCTATTTTTTGAGAGAGATGCAGCAACGTGGAGAAGTAAACTTGCAAGTCTGAAGATCAATTGGCTGACATGTTTACAAAGCCATTACCTATCAGCAAATTTGAATATCTAAGGCAACTGATTGGAGTTTGCAGTTCCTAAAGCAAGGAGGAGTATTAATCATGTGCTTTTGTAACGGTTAGATTTTTTATTATTTTATTTTATTGTTTCAGTTTTTAGCAACCTAGTCAATTAGTGGTTCCTATAATTTAGGAGCAAGCTAGTAGTAGTTGCTATACTTTAGGAACAAATTAGTTTAATTATTCAATTCTCTAGAATCCTGTTACGTGGGATAACTTTCAGTTTTTCCTTTCCATTATTTATTGTAGCATTTCTATCGATCAAAAATACAATTTCTTTCCTTTAATATACTGTTTCTCTACTTCTCTGCCATTATATTTGTTATTTTCTGCCATTAAACTAACAGCTTCCCAATATGAAGATAGAGGTTACTCATGTTGATGTTAACTTAAACTGGCTTCATTAAATTATCTCCTAAGGCATCTTCTTTGGATAACTTCTCTGTATCATTGTCTGTGTTTGAAATTTGCAAGAATTCTTTTGTAAATATTGTGCTACTTGTTGCATAATATAGATAAGAGATTTGATATATATTGTGTGTATTATTTGTCTTGTAATCTTGATGTATGAAATAAATTTAGTTGATGCGTAATAAATTGTTGAAGTGTTTTTCTTTGTTTATCGCCTTTCAATCTTATCTTCCTTCATTTTTATTCTGATTTGGTTCTTGACAAATTTGATTGATGCTGTGCAATCTTGTAAATTTTATCTTTACTTGAAAACTTGCGCCGCAAGAAGCTTAGTTTCTTAGTTTAGGGTCACTGTAAATCTGCAATTTGTTTCTAAGTATCCAATGTTAAAGCGAACTACTATCTTTAGGTGAATTTGAAAGGAAAAACCACCAATTTGGAAAAAATTACAAGCTAGATGCTTCAGGGTTTAAGGAAAAAGAATGCATAATTTCCAAACTACTGAACTTCTCATGTTGTCAACATTCTATAAATTACTACACCATTTGCTAGAAGTTGAAGCACAACTACCACTTTTTGCGAGTTTCCTTTGCTGCAATCTTGAGACTATAATAATGACTCACAGCAGAGCTAATCCAAAAATTAGGCCACCAAAGAAATCGTCTTAAATTTCTTAGACTTAAAAACTTTTACATAAAAAAAATCTTCCTATTCTATAAGTAAAGAAATGAAAATGTGAGTCAAAGAAAAAACAGCATTAGAAAGCAATCTCACACACCAGCAATGGCACCAGCAACAGCAATGATCGGAGCGGCTGGTGGGTAGGATATGATGACACCAGCAGCGCCGACGGCGCACACATATTTTTCATTCTATCCCGTGGATTTAGAGACCCATACAACACTGTCAAGACTCAAATGCCATTGATGAAACCATTTCCTACCACAAACCAAGTCTTCTCACTATTTCTAAAACAGAAAGGGAAATCTAATTTGGGCAATATATACAAAGATAACGACCAGCCAACGTGTAGGTATTTTGCAGCAGATTGGAACACAAAGTAAAGCAGTAAGTTCTTTGCCTTCTGCAGTTCTTCTTTTCTTCCGATTTGCATTACAGAATATAAAAAGTGTCTTCTACAGCACGGCATCATCATTTTCTTCAGCATATGGTGTCAACACCAGTTATTAGGATCCTTGTCGACATTGATATCACTGTAAAGTTGCATAAGGAGATCATGATGTAACCAATAAAGTTTTTCATTTTTCATTAGGTTGAATATAGGAGCCTTCCTTTATTTTCTCTTATTCTTATATTATTGGACATTCTGCCGCGAATTGCATAAAAGTTACCTCTACAAAATTGACTAAGCCTTCCATAGACAAGGAAAACAATGTTCAAGACCATTCTTGTAAAGAGAATGCATTCTCACACCTAAAGGATCTTAATATGCATTGCTTGGAGATAGATGCCGATGCTGATTTAAGAGCTGCAGAATGTAATGACTCTCAAAATGAGGTCTTTAGGCAAAATGTTGAGAAGAACTGTCACGAGAACAAACAACAAAGCCCTCGCGAGAACAAACAACAAAGTCCTTGTTTTTCTCTTGTTATTTTTCGCTTCTTGAGCACCTTTGTCTTGTTACCTTTTGTAAATAGGTTGAGTAGCCCTTATACTCCTTTTAATTCAATTTGCTTATAAAAATATATTATGTGCTTTGTACAATGGTGTGATGTCTCTTCATTGTGTTGCAGGGCTGTTATCTGTACCTACATTATAAAAAGCTATATTTTTAGAAGGGATTATCTTGGAATCAAATAAGTATTTTTTCCATTTCCATAGCCATTTAGAGTGTGTTTGAATGATGTATTTTAATGAACGAATGTAATGTTTTGAGAGAATTTAATGGTTTTGAAAAAACACATAAAATTAAAGCATTTGAAATTTATCTCATATTTATGGAATGTGAATGTGAAATTGAATATTATTATTATTTCAAAATAAAGTATGAATTACATATTAGATTTAACCGCACCTCTCACTAAATGCATAATTGATCATTCAGAATGAATACATAACCATATTTCCTTGAAAAAGCTCTTAATATTTAGAATTTTTTAAGCAAGACATCCTTAATAACTTTGTCCAAGTTCATGTATGAGCAACCCTCTAGACTAGTGTTCTCTTCCGCCTTCTTCTTCAACTCCATGACTTTTTTCTTCATCTGTCTCCCTTTCTCTCCCACCATCAATTCATTGACAAGCTTCTCCACCTCATCTCTCTTCACGTTTGTATCGATTTCAGCTCCAATTTCCCATTCATTGCAAATAAATCTACTGTTTGTTGGCTGATCAGCAAAAAACGGCCAACACAACATTGGCACTCCCGCACATATACTTTCAGTGGTTGAGTTCCATCCGCAATGAGTCAAAAATCCACCAATTGAAGGATGGTTCAACACTTTCTCTTGTGGACACCAGCTCACAATTAGGCCTCTATCTGAAATTTCTTTGAGAAATTCAGTTGACAAAACAACTAAGCCACCAATGACAAGATCAGGCCTAATGATCCACAAAAATGACTTCTTGCTATTGGCCAAACCCCAAGCAAACTCCGACAGTTGCTCTGGAGTCATAACCGTAAAGCTTCCGAAATTCACATAAACAACAGACTCCAACTCCTTTGATTCAAGCCAATCTAGACACTTGGTATCTTCTTTCCAAAGATTGGAACCTAAAGATGCTAAGTGATTATGCCCAATTTGATTTAATAATGAAGGTAATGGTCCAATGGTATAGAGAGAAGGGAGCATAGAGTAGAGAACTTGAAGCACATCACTCTCAAGTTCATTAAAAGTGTTAAAAACAATACCAGATGCTCTATGAATACTTTCTGCCACCTCGATAAAGAATTCTAACATGACATCATTTGGATTAGTTGTTCTAATAAAGCCAGGGAGATCCTTTAGTCGAAAGTTGTGCAATCCTGGAATACAATCTACTTTAGTGTCTAAATATCCATTTGCCCAATAACTCTCATCTGCTTGTAATAATTATAAAATGTCAGTTAGCGTGCGACACAAGAATTTGCAATAGTTAGCAAATCGTCACAAACTAGTGTTAGTGACTGTTTGAACCGCCGCAACACCCAAAATTATTAAATAGAGCACGTTATTCAGAATTACCTATGAAGTAAAATCTATAATAAGGAAAAGAATGATAGGAAATAGTTACCTTTGAGTGGTATTAAGCCTCTCTCGACGAGTACACGAAAGTGCAAATTAGATAAGAAGCTAGACGCACTTGTTGGGCAAAAGAGAAGGATTGGGAGTGCATATTCTTCGGCAGCTGGTATGGTAAATGGCATGTAACAATCAGAAACAAAACATGTAACAGGTGGGACAAGACCAGCAATGGCAGATTCATGGAGTCTAGCAAGAAGTTCACCAAAGAATTGGTGGAAATTCTTTCTTAATGAAATAGTAACTGAGACAATGTCTTGAGTAACATCACCATCATCACCTTCCATTGGAGTTAAACCATCTGGAATTGTCTCAAAGTTGAAGTCAGTGAAAGCATCAAAGGCGTTTGAGCCTCTTGATTTGAGCAAGCGTTGGTGGTTGTACTCAGTGTTGACAAAGGTTATGTGAAAGCCTTTAAGGTGAAGCAGTTTTGCTAGCTTGAATAATGGATTGATATGGCCTTGAGCTGGAGATGGAATCAAGATAGCATGTGGCTTTTTCTCTGTAGCATTATTCATCACTGTTTTGTAAGACAACTAGAAAGCAAAAAAAGAACAACAAAGTCGATGTCAAATCTCACTTTTTGAATGTGAGAATCTCGATCTGTATATAACTATAATGGATGGTCTAGTGGCATATTTCTAAATATTATTTTAGTTTTGTCGTGCATCTAACGAATAATTTAGTTGTATATGCTTTTTCACGAGCAACACGAGGCAACAATGGTTCTGATATGTGTACATGTTCGTGATCATACTCTTGATACATTATCATCTGAATTTATTTAATCTAATTATTAGTATGAGATATGCTTTAATTAAATAAATTATGATTTTATATGTGTGTCATATATGGTTGGGTGATGTGAGAGTCATGACGGATGAGTAGAGTAATTAGAGATAATTTAAAGAAATAGTTATTTTAATTGAATTAAAGTAAATAGAAAAATATCAAAATAGTGAGACATGGAGTAAAAATTGGTATAATGAGATAAGTGGTGGGACAAGGTGAGAGAAACCAAAAGTTGAGGGGCAAAAGTGAAATAATAAGGGAGCTGAAAAATTAGGTTAAGATAAATAGAGATTAGTATGGCCTTTAGAGTTGTCAATACGTGATATTTAGGAGATTAGAAGAAAGAGACAAGAACAAGAACTTTGTGAGGAAGAAGCAATCATAATCAAAGTTTTGAACCTGTGCTTGCTGGAGATTCAGGTAAGGGGGAGATTACTCTTCTATGGGTGTAATTCATGATGGGTGTTGAAACAGTTTTATAAGAAAAGTATTTGTTTTATTATCTCCACATGGATTAATGAGATATTACCGCCGTTCTACAATTGATAATGTTAGTAAGGGTTTTAAAAGGGTTTTGGTAACAGAGAGTATCGATTGCATGAAAAGTAGTTAACAATGTGAAAAAGTTCGAGTATTAACAGTTTAATAAGCATGTCAAGGTTAAGGTTCATTAATCTATTTCATACATATCTTATTAATTAAGCATGTGAACTTGTCTATGATCATTATAATCATGTATCCTCTCAATACCGTTTATCTCTAAAGCGATATTGTGACTATTATTATATTAATTACTAGATGATGTCTCATGCTAACAATCAACACAATAACCTTAAAGATTGATACAAGTGAATATCAACTCACAGATCTACGTCTAGATTTTATACATTGATAGATGAGTACCTTAGGTAAAGGTTTGAAAAATATCTTTTAATAATGATTCAAATCAAAGATATAACAATAAAAGCAAAAATATTCATCTATATTGATCATCAACAAAGTTCACATATAAAAGATCAAAAGAAATACATATTACTTAGATTAATTACCTCTAATCTTGACACAAAAGAGGGTTTATCTACCCATCACCATGGTAGCTTGATCAACAAGTAATAGAAGAGAGATGCATGAGCATCCAAGATGTTTGATTGATCAAGAATGTGAATCTTGCTCCGGTTAAACGATTTTTGTGACTTGTTCTTCCTTACAAAGCTTTTCTAGGTCAGAATATGTGTAAAAGATGGAATGGTTCTCAAAAATATCTAACATGAACCTATGTATACTAAAAATGCCAAGACAAATTTGTCCGGCGCCCAAAAGATTCATCAGACGAAATTTTACTTTAAGCCTGTAACACCCTTCCAAATCCACATATAGTTCGCATACATTCTACGAAATTAAATCAAATAAAGTCACCAACAAGATTGTCACATCTTCATAAAAGCATCATATAAAAACATCCTGCTCCGTAACATGGGTTTTGAAAACATCTAAAACAACTATTTCTTTAATATCCTTAACACATCAAAATTTAGATTATCATGACGGAATCATAGTCTCAAAACATCTTTATTAGAATACTCCATCGTTCATGATTCATAATTCAAAAAATATATACCATGAAAGATAATCCATCATCTAAAAATAAGCAAGAGAACATAATAGTTTTAAAACAAACATTCTCAACCTCGATGTTACATATAAGAACAAGACTCTCTTATTCAACATAAATAAATGACGCACTCCGAAGCTAATCCTCTAAGCTTCAATGCACTAATTCTGATCACCTGCAAGTTACCCACGTATAGAGGCAACATTTCCAAACAGAAGGGGTGAGTAACCATAATCATTATAAAAGACATAAGGATTAATATAGTAGTCATAACACAATAGTAGGACACCACACACCATCAAAACTTCATGTTATACCCACACCTTCAATTCATTATTTATTCATAGCATCATCATATCATTAGTCAATAATCATCATCAAGACATCATTAGTTCACATATTCACAAAGCATCACTTAATCAATCATTATGCAATGTCACAAAGAAAGTAATACAACTTCATTGGACTCATGCATGTGGTACCAAAACTTCACTGCTGACACAGTCATCGTTTCTCCAAATATCCCCACCAATAGGGTTGATTCCCGCTTAGAAGCAGAGCACATCATAAAATTGCACTCAATACACCCTATAAGATTGAGGCCATCACTGGACCATTCGTCCTTCAAACTTCACTAGAACAATGTCCTGCAACTATCATTGGGTTATGCCCTAACATATGCCATGAATGCATGATGTGAAATATCTCAATAACAACATGACCATTACTAAAACACATCATCATTCACATAATCATCATAGTATCGTCACATACTTCATACTACACATGTCATCATTATAGCAAAACCAATTCATCATACACACATACATCATAATAGAACAATCACTAAATCATGTTATTCATAAAAAAATAGACACTGGAAAACACATCATATGACTCATTTTATTCGACCAAAGTATAATTCGTCGCATTATCTTTATAATGCTTTGAATTATGCGTCAAATGGAGTTCTGAAACTTAAGTTATAGCCTGTTAATGTTCTGCCAGACACCCCTCGCCCGAGGCTCGCCCGACGAAGTAGGTTGCTCTTCTGAGGCTCGCCCTGCGAGGACGGGGCGAATCAGTTTCCCCATAAAAAATCCAGAAGAATGCATTTCCCTCTTGTCTCCTTTTCCCGACGAGGATATTATCTTTCTCGACGAGCTTATCTCGCCTCTGCTTCACCCGACGAAGCTGGAGCGATTCCTCTTCGCTCATACAAAAGTTCAAGGGATCTGTATTTCACCCCTTCGCTTAACCTCACACTCACCCAGTGCATTAGGGACGACCTTCCTTCTCCCGATGATGCATCATGCTCGCCCAGCAAGCCAGTGCGAATAGGAATTCCCTATTGCAATCTTTGCACTACACCAGTATAATTTTTACACGATTTCTTCACATTACAGGTCTTAATTCATCATAGCTTCATATAGTTTCATCATACAATACCAACACATGTTATCATGCATCATATGCCTCAATTTATTGGAAACCAATCTTACTAATTCATCAATTTTCATCAAATCATCATATTTACATCATCATCCCAAAACCCCAACCCAAACCTACAATTACCTAAACCTTAGACCGGTTATGATAACAATGATAAACTCCCCTTACCTTAGATTCTTCCTAAAAATTTATTTCTCTTCGCGCTCTACTAAATCCATCTGAGTTCCTCTGTGCCCTAGATTTCTCCATAATGTTCCTCTTACTGTCACGATCGCACATAATGAGACTTTTTTCCTTCTATTCTTTGGTTAACCCTTGGACCATTTCTATGGTCTCCCATCTTACCCTCACTTACATCACAATATTACCATCTTGTCCTCATAGTCTCTATCTCTTATTATTATTATATTTAACTAATTAAAATAATTCCAACTAATTATTCTAATTATCCGAACTATCTTAAAAATACTCAATATCATCTTAATTTTCACTACCCCATTATACACCATATAAAACATCATATCAAGCATCATGTTCATTATAACATCACATTTACTTCACAAATATGTCACAAATGCTCATCATAAATCAATTAAATAATTAAATAAATAATCTAATTATTTTGGGGTGTTACAACTCTCCCTCACTTAAAAGAATTTTCGCCCTAAAAAATTATCTGGTGGAAACAAAATTGGATAAGACTTTCTCATCAGATCCTCACGTTTGCGCGTCCAACTTTCACCAGTTGGTCCACCCCACAATACCTTCACTAAGGCGATGTCTTTACCCTACAATTACTTCACTTGCCGTCCTTCTATCCAAACCGGTGATGCTTCAACAGTTAGGTTATCTCTCACTTGTACATCATCCATTTGGATCACATGTGAAGGATCTGGAATATACTTCCTCAACTGAGACTCATGAAACACTTCATGAAGATTCGCAAGATATGACAGTAAATTAATCTGATAGGCCACTTCACTTATCTTCTTCGATATCTGATATAGACCAACAAAACACGGTGTAAGCTTTCTTGACTTCAAAGATTTACCAACACCAGTCACAGAAGTAACTCTCAAAACACATGATCATCTTTTTGGAATTCAAGTGCTTTCCTCCTCTTATCGTGATAACTCTTCTAATGACTCTAAGACATTTTCATCCTCTCTTGCATCATCTTTATCTTCTCATTCGTCCATTGCATAATCTTAGATATGAGTACAACACTCTCGCCTGACTCATACCAACACAATGGAGTTCTACTCCTACCATATAATGCTTCATACGTTGTCATCCCAATACTAGAATGGGAATCATTATTATAAGTAAATTCAATCAACGACAAGTGGTTATCCCAAGCTCCTCATTGTTCTAGCACACAAGCCCTCAACAAATCCTCCAAAGACTGAATGGTCCTCTCTGTCTGACCGTTCGCCTGCAGATGATATGTGGAACTCAATCTCATCTTAGTACCAAAAGCATTCTATAAACCTTCCTAAAATTTCGATGTAAACCTCAGACCTCTATCTGATACGATATTCAAAGATATCCCATGTAATTTCAAAATCTCATCGATATACATCTCATATAGCTTCTCTATTGAATGATTGATCTTCATCAGCAAGAAATGGGCCGACTTAGTCAACCTATCCACAATCACCC